TTCAGTACAACACAAACACAGAATAGTGATTCTTCAGACAGACTGTCTCTTCTGTCTTCCACTGTGAGAGGGAACAAGGCATAAGGCTGCCACCTGTTGGTCACTTCTCGATCAGAGAGTCCAGCTGCTCCTGCAGCGAGGCCAGCTGTTGGAGCAGAGAGTAAAGGTGAGATTGAAGTCCCACTGCCCTCTGTGTAATTGGAGGGTAAGTGGATGATGATTAACGTGTCTTTTCACATTAAATTATGGCCTTNAGTGTCTTGGCTGTTAGCTGCTCTCTGACAGATGGCAGGATTAGCCCGGGTTTGGAGACGGCCACTTTAATCTGACAAGCTAATCCCCAGTCTTCTCCTGCCATTGGTAGGGCAATTCCTGCAGGATGGAGCCAGAGAGCAGGGGATGACCACAGGCCAAAGGGAAAAAGGTTTAAAAAAAACTGAGAAGAAAGTGCCAGAAGAGTCTTGAATGTCAAAGTTCCTTCTGGAAGCGCAGGAATCTTATGACATAAATGATGCCTCATCCATAGGTTTATAAAACTTTAGATTATCAAGATTACTGTAAAATTTGAGTGTGACTTGAGAAACATGAGAAACAATGACTATGGATGGACAAATGTTTTTTATTCATTGTAAATAACTAACAGCAGAGAATGATAAAAAAAAAAAAAAAGATTAAGGGGAAAACACAACCCTATGATACAATTTCAGTACAACACAAACACAGAATAGTGATTCTTCAGACAGACTGTCTCTTCTGTCTTCCACTGTGAGAGGGAACAAGGCATAAGGCTGCCACCTGTTGGTCACTTCTCGATCAGAGAGTCCAGCTGCTCCTGCAGCGAGGCCAGCTGTTGGAGCAGAGAGTAAAGGTGAGATTGAAGTCCCACTGCCCTCTGTGTAATTGGAGGGTAAGTGGATGATGATTAACGTGTCTTTTTCACATTAAATTATGGCCTTCATTTGTCAAATACAAACACCAGCTTGTATCACTCGAGGTGGTCAAAGCCAGAAAGAGCAGAACAGATTGCTACACTTGCTACAATGAACACAAGAATTCATGTCGAGAGCTAATAAACAAAGACACTGTCAAGCTGGAGTGATGCTGGCATTTTACAGAAAATATCTTACTTGTTCCATCTCTCGCTCTTCCTGCTGAATAATCTCATCCAATAAGGCCTGGAAACGGTTCTGTGAAGAGAGACAGAGGGTCTTTAGAGTCGACATGCTGAGCCTCATTAAATTGTGATTGTCTTAAATGTAGCTCTGCCTTGACTGCTCATGACACTCTGACACAAAGGCCATTTGGAATGCCAGTCAGATACAGCTGACCTTTTCCATGGGTGTGTGATAAAAACAACTGAAGAAGGGTTTTTGTGCAAAATCCCTGGCTGCTCATATAACAATGAGTCTTGTTCAATAAAACACAATGAAACATTGAGACATTGTTATGCTTTGGTGTGGGATTAATGTGATTAGAAAGTCACATGGGCTATTATATTTTAAAGCTTAAAAAAAAAAATAATAATAATAACAACATTTTGTTGTTTTACTTCACTCTTGTGGCTTCAGTTTGCTTTTGCCTTCAAGCTCCTCTGTAAGTGATATCTGGTTAGTACATGCAGACCTACTTTCTGTAAGGCTGGTTGTGAGTCTTACTTTGAGGGCCTGGTTTTCCACTTTCATGATGAGCTCCTCCTGCTGTTTCTTTCGAGCACGAGTCTCTTGAAGCTTGGCCTTGATACTGTTGATCTGCACCTGATATTCCATTACTGCACAAACACAGGGTCAGAGGGGAAAGTGTCACATCAGAAATTTTTGCTCTCAAACAACACACGTCAGCACTGTTTGCCTTCAGAACCATGGGGACACCATCATTTCATTTTATGAGGAAACAAATACATTTCAGTGGTTTTCAGCCAGCAGCCTGCAAAGTTAAAGGCACAAAACTATCAATTTGCTCTGAGCTCTACAGAACTTTATTAAACCAACAACACCTGTGACTTCCTTTACCCACCAGTAAACTAATTGTGTCCAACCTCTTCTCTGGTCATTTTGCTGACAGGAAAATTCTCTTAGACAACTTTAGTGTGTAGAAAGCAGCCCATAGGAATCCCTGCAGACCCATTCATTAAGTTTCTTAAGGATGCCAAAACACAGCCAGCCCTGGACTCATTTTAAAAGGCTCTGCTTGACTACGGCGCTGGAGCTGGCCAGGTGACAGCTCCATGTATGTAGATAAACAGGCATTGAGCTGTCAGACCAGACCGCTGAGCCACAACACCTGTCAGCCCGGCGAGCTGAGGCGGAGAGACTGTCAGAGTGAGAATCTCTGTGGGCGAAGCTGCGATTTCAAGTTTAAATACGGGAACGTCGACATGTTGTGAGAGAGTGCCCAAGAATAGAGAAACCGCGCCCTCCTCGAGTCAGAGGCCGTCAAAGGCAATCCCTTAATTACCCAGACCGCCTCCTCAGCAACCTCTCCTCCCTCCTTCCTGTCTTTCTCTCACGCCTTTGTTGCTTTATCACTCTCCGTTTTTTTTTCTAATTTACTTCTCAACTCCTTTCTCTACTTCTCCTCCTCGTCCTTCTTCTTCTCTCCTTTGCTCATTTATCGTCTCCTTCCTTCCTCTCCTCCCTCTCTCTTGCAGCACTTGTTCCCGTGTGTTTTCTCTCCGTTTGCATGTTCCTTTAGCGAGTGAGTGTCGTCGCGTTTCCACTGGTTTACACGGTCCTGGGAGAGTCCGGAAAAGCGGATCTCTCCTGCCGACAATCCAAGAAAAACTACGAGGGGCTTCAAAGATGAGTTAAAAAAAAAAAAAAAAAAACAGCGCGTCGCCGGGAGGGTTTTCCATGAAGCGAGTTAAAGCGAGAGTCTTGGTTTATTTGCTCAGTCCAGGTTTATCGAAGCCTCAGTTCCACCAGAGTCGACCCGAGTTGCCGCAGAAACAAGCACCCGGGAACAAACTGTCAAGATTATTTTAGCTCCGTCTCCGAGAACGTC